CAAATGCTGAAACGGAAGCAAACAAAAATAAGACAAAAATAAAAGAATAATTAATAAGTCAAGGTGATAATGCAATAGTTGTGATGGGATCGTAAGTCCTTACTAGCGTTATCATGTTAAGGCATACATTCCAATGTGAGATCGGCATATAAAACTAATCAAATACTTTCGCACGAAATAAGCGTCAGCTCAACAGAATAGACTAGCGACATCAAAAGATGCTCGAAAAATGTGGTAGCTGTGAAATATTGGTTTAGAATAAACAGCACATCTTAGTAAGAGGAGAGTAAAAGTGACCTACCGATAGGATCGAAAGAGGCACGAATTCTGATCAGAAAACCCAGCAGGATAGGATACAAGACTGGCGAAAACTCATTCAAAATAATGTAAATCATAAGTAGATGGGAAGAAAAGAAATTGCTCATTGAGAAAGAGATAACGTCGAAACGTGGCCAATCAGCAATCTAAATAATGTAGGAGCTAGTTAATCTTAGATACGAACCACTAAATTGATTAACTTACACAGTATTTTAGCGCGATGTCCAGGACAAATGAAGTCTATACGAGAATTTCGGGAAATCCCTGAGTGAAAGTTTGCGATAATGAAATTAGAAGGTCGATCCAAACATAAGACAATAGCAAATTTATCATAGAAACCTGTCGTTAGCCTTAGTAGAACCTTCTTCATGATGCTGACCTTGATGAAATAAACTGTGATCTCGGTGAAAACTATGAGCTTTGTCTATCATATAAAAGCATACTTGTAATAGGGTGTCGTTCTCACAACAAATTCAAGTAGAAGAGTTCACAAAACACAATTTAGTGAGGAGGATGATGAAGAGGAATCCATCGTAGTCTTCTGTTTGAATCGATCTTCAAATATCTTTATTACAGAATAACCGCAAGGAAATGTTCGAAAGTTCTTTTCTAGGAGCTCGTAATGTATGAACGATCATTGACGAAAATAGTATTCTATAAATAGAACAATCAACACACGGGTGAATTAAATGTAGTAGCAAGAAGACGACCAAGTAAATTGGAGTGTACATGAGACATTCATCTTATTTCGTTTATAGTGATATTAGTAGTATCAGTAGTAGTTTAGTCGATTAGTAGCAGTCAATAATTATTTTTTCAGCTTGCGAAATAAATACGATCACTAGGAATTATCTAATTTTAGGGAAGTTAAGCAACTTTGATTAACAACATTGCTTTTTCTGTGCAAAAGAATAAAAAAAATAACGATTTGAATGTTCAAGTAATGCATTTGACAGCAGTAATCTATCAAAAGCATGTATAAGTAGCATTCATTATATATATAAAAAATAAATGCGATTTTTAATATTAGATGCCAAAAGCTTATACATGAGAACTTACCGACTCTCTCACTTCTAGACAAGGATGGCTTGCCATGCTGTGAAGGAGCCAAAAGGGAACTGGCCCGACTGGATTTAGAGTATTCTGCGGCCATGCAGAATCAGCTGACTGCTTCTGTATGCCAAACGGCATAGATACATTTTTTAGAGTTATGGGTTTTGACAAGTGAAAATTGCTTCGGCTTGCCTTTGATGTCGAAATTGGCTGAACTGGTGACTTCGATGAAGCAAAAGAGAGGTTCACTTCTGCTTCCAAATCAAGATATAACCGGTGTGGTCCTGGAATCACAGTTTGACTGGGATGGGTACTGGGAAATTTATGAGGGTTTCTTGATGTAACACATCCGGCAAATGGTCTAGACGAGTAATTAGAGTAAAGTGACAACGATGAGGAGGAGGTCGAAAGAAGAGAATCAAACTTCTCGGCCATCGGGCGAGGATTGGCGACAAAGTTGTGCTCTCCGTCGAACCTCCAAATGGCATCGAGGCAAGCTAGCCAGACGTGTGTGAACTGTTCTGTGCGATTGAGCCGAAGTTGAAGGTAGGGTGTATAACGAGACCGATCAGAATGAACAGAGCTGGTGTTCTCAATGCTCAGTCTGGTCACGGAATCCATTTTGTCAGCCTTTTCAGAGTTTTCAGCAAATGTTGTAGCGACTTCATTCACAAAAATAGACGGTTTCAAATCGGTGCTAGTCTTGCTGGAGGTCTGAAAAGAAGTCTGAGGAGGACACGTCGGGTGAATTGGAGAGGAAGAGGGCAAAATATGAAAGGATTGTCCTACTTCTGCTACTGGCAAGACAATTTTTGAAGGACATGACTTTGTATTCATTTTAGATTGAGAATCCTGAAGCGATGTTACGTCATCTGATGCGTCGGGCGGAGTCAATGCCAAATGACCGGCCTGATGGACATTAGCAGAATGGACGCATGTGTCCGCCAGGTCAACTTCTGTATTCGATAGATCCAAGGTGTCATGACTCGCCACTGGATCAGGTGAATCGGAAGTCGGCTTATCACCAAGTTCCGGATAAACTCCTTTTTCCTCTTGTTCAAATACGGAAGAATAAGCGGATGAAGAAATGATCGAGGAAGAGGGCGAGTTTGAATCGTCTGAAGCTAGTTCCGCCCGCAGACTGGCCGAGTACCGAGCCATTGCTTCCATTTCAGCCAAGCTGGGCTTACCTGCAGACATGATACCCAAACTTGATGTCATCTCATCGGTCACAGTCTCACTCACAACTGGCGGACTTTGACAAGAAAGATTTGAGGCTATACGGTCAGATGAAGCTGACTCTAGAGTTGCCAAGGGCAACTCCGAAAGAGGCGTTCCACTCAATTCGACACAAGATAGAAATGGCTCTTCTTCATTAGACAATTTCATAGAGATTGAGGATATGTCTTCTTCGGTTACTGAACCTTTATTATGAGTAGAAACCACCGCCTTATTTGGGCCAGGATTATATTCCGGAGTCACTACATCAGCACACAAATGACACGAACTCGTAAATGGCTGATTGGCTGCTGCTATATGAAATTTAGTCTGAGACGGAATTAATATTAATTCCTTTAAGCGCAGAGATAGCTGGTTCGAGATGATCCTATTCCAAAACAGAGAGAGCTGGAGACCTGCAACCGTGGACTTTGACAAAGAAGATGCTGTGGAGGCGGTGACGAAGGGAGCAGAGGGATTCATCGCCGACGATTCGCATAAAAAATCCAGTTTTGTAGGGTCTTTTATGCTACCGCTAAGCATACAGAGCACCTAAAATAATATAAAATAGACAAATTGAGTAGCATTAGAAAGTAATGGTAGAGCATTGATGAGAACTAGAGCCACTTTGGGCCGGGTCAAGCTTGCGTAAAAATGATTCACAATAAAATGAATAGGTGTTGCCAAATTTCACTGTTCCATGTCTATGAAATCCTTAGCAACATGTGCCACTATTTTATTTTCCTCAAATCACGTTTTACATCATATAAAGTGCTCTTGGATGATTTATTTTAAGAAATGTTATTAAAGCTCTTATATTAAGTAAAAGTGATCGTGATGCCTGTAAATAAAATACTTAAGGGCAAGGAACCTAAATTAAAATGTATTATAGAATAAAAAAAATTTTTAATTCATATATTTCCATGGAAGAGACCGAATAATCTATTATATGATGTGCATATTAAAGTATATCATTTGCGAATATTAACTTATAGGGGTAATAAAGAAAAAAAAGCTAAGTAGCCGAGGAAAAAAGGTACCAAATATTTAAGCGAGAAGTAGAAGGGCGACAAACAACTTCCCCTTGGCAGAATTATTAAATTCAATAGTGGAATTTGATAACATCCACAAAACAGAATTTATCTGATCTCCTTTATCAAAAGAAGCCATACGAAAAATAAAAATAATTTATTTTCTGTTTGTAAGTTGAGTTTCGAGACCACCAGTTAATCAGTTATCTAAGAAATATTCACACTTTCTTTTCAGGTGATGAATGACTGGTTGCTGAATTTTCCCACAATGGGATGAGTAGAGTGTGATTAGGTCAGCTCTATTTATATCATTGTGGGAAAATTCAACTATCAGTCCTTCATGACCTTAAACAAAATAGGCTAGTCTCAAAACTCTGCTTATAAACAAAAAAATAAGTAATGTAACAATAGCAAATATAATTTTTCTTCATCGACATTCCCACCAAAAAATGTGATAAGGGAAAATGCCTGGCCTTGAAATTCACATCTGCCCTCGCTGGGCGAGGTCGGAATTGCAGTTCACTCTGGATAAGGACAACTTTTGGGAAAACAAGGCTATGTGAAATTCAATGGAAGCGTTAGCTCTACTCATAACAATGTGGGAAAAATCAACTGCCAGTCCTTCAATATCTTGAACGGAATAGAGTTCATACATCTCATTAAAAAAAATTTTATTTTAGAATACATATCCCTACATGATTCTGTGAATTTTTTAAATGAATGAGTAAAGCGACAAAAATGCATGGTTTTAAACAGCATGCCACGAAGAAAGTTGAAGAAAACATGGCAAGAACTATGCAACAAGCATTATAGGTTCGTGGAACGGAAGGTACATCTATGGGCGATATGATACAGTAAACCTGATCGTTTGGACAGGAAATTTGCCAAAGAGCAACAGGCGTAATTCAAATGGAAATGCTCTACACTCATACCTGAACTCTAGATACATCGAATCGACAGATTTATAGAAATTGTTTGATCTTGTTTTTGCAATTTGGTCATATTGGTAGGAAGACCTAGAGTAGTACACCCAGTCAGGAGTCCATAGTATACATTTACAATTTCCAGTCAGACTGTGTACGTGGTACATTCTTAAACTTTTCGCCGGCATCGTCAGTAAGTCTTGTCATTCTTAGCACCAAATTATAACTCGTCAAAAGAGACAACGTCTGGTAATGTACCACGTCCACGGTCCGACTCTGGACATTGTCATCCATACTATGGACTCCGGACTAGATGCGTTCCTCTGAGTCTTCCAACCAATATGACCAAGTTGCAAACACACGATCGAACAATTTCTATACATCGAAAAGAGACTGCGACCATACTAAAGGTAACACCATCTCAGTGGAAATTTCGATAAGTTTGCATGGATTCAAGATCCATTTAACACTAGTGTTACGTCTGAATTTAGGTTTGCAGAAGAGGATCTTATCGAGTTATTTTGCGATAACAGTTTAAAAGCAAAATTTGACAGCATGGAATTGACAGAACTTTGGATTTCAGCAAAAGGTGAATATCCCCTTCTAAATGAAAAGGCTCAGCGGATTCTAATTCTATTCACGACGTCGTATTTATGCGAAGCTGTGTATTCGGCGGTCGCTGTAATACAAAGCAAGTATAGAGCAAAATGTAGAAAAGGAAATGGGGGTGGCCGTGTCCAGTTTAATTCCAAGATTTGAGAAAATGTGCAGTGATTTGCAGACTCATCCATCACATTAATAATTAAATATTAATTTAATGTTAATAAAGTAAAAAAATAATGATAGATGAGTTCTATTTATTTTTATATCTTACTTACTAATAGTCATACTTAGGGTAGGGTGCTATGGAAACATTTTAATTGAAATAGGGCGCTGCGACTAGGAAAAATTTAGGAACCACTGGTTTAAGGGGAAAAGTATGAATAAGCCATTTAATCT